AGCAAAATAGACCCAGAGACATAGAGACATGGAACAGATGGACAAAGCTCTGAGAGAAGGCAGGGGTGGTGGGGTGGGTGGGGAGAGATTACCTGGGGAAATTATACATATATGCATGACCCATGGACACAGACAATGGAGTGGTGAAGGCCTGGGGCAGAGGCTGGGAGACGTCAATGGGGGAAAGAGGGTACATATGTAATACTTTCAACAATAAAGATTTTTTAAAAACACATAATGGGAGAAAATTTTTGCAAATCATGTATCAAATAAAGGACTTGTATCCGGAATATATATAGAACTCTTAAAACTAATAATAAAAAGATAATTAACTTAATTTTAAAATGAGCAACGGATTTGAGTAGGCATTTTCCCAAAGAAGACATATAAATTGCTGCAACGCACATGAATAGATGCTGAATGTCATTAGTCATTAGAGAAATACAAATCAAAATCATGAGAGACCACTTCACACCCATGAGGATGGCTGTTAAAAAACGACAACAAGCTTTGGCGAAAATGTAGAGAAATTGGAGCCCTCACACAATGCTGATGGGAAATGGACTAGTGGGGCAGTGGGGGGTGGGGTGGGGGGACGGAGAATAAATAGCAGCAAATCCACTTGATGAGATTTATTCAATCACTGACTTTCATGTTTATGAAGAGTTTGACACCAAAGAGAAACATGGTGAGTGGAAATAACAGGATAGAGTGCACAGCCGGAGACCTCAGCTGTGGACGGGAGCCAGTGCCTGCGGTGGGCTCTGTGCTACGGATGGGGAGTTGGGGCCCTACGGTGGGCTGCCAGGGAGGGGCAGTGCATGGAGGAAGGGGAGCAGGAGTGATGCTTGCTTTGTCTGAAGGTGGTGGAGGCACTAATTCTTGGCCCCTGCCTTTGGTGGGGACGGGGAGAGGGGGTGCTCTCCCTGCTGTATCCCACACAGTCCCTCACAGTCACCCCCTCATGGGCTGCGCTCAAAGCTCCTATGAGAGACTCCAGGACACTGAGGGGTGACTCGGGTGGGGATGTAATCCCTTCCATAACCTTCCTCCGCTCTCCCCGCCTTCAGCCTCTGCAAGTACACACACAATTTAAGAAAATCTTGCGAACTCGGGTTCAAAACAAAGCCCCTAATGGGAAGGCCCCACCCCGCAATGGACGAGGAAATTCCGGCAGGCTGTCCCTCCCCAGGAGGCCAGGGAAACCGGCGGCTCCTGCCGGGGGCTGGAGCGCCGCCCAGAAGCAAAGCCCGTCCGTGGGCAAAGCCCGGAGCCGGGGCGGGGGGCGGGGGGGCGGTGCCTGACTGCACACCCAACCGGCCCCCGCGGCCAGCGGTTATCTTTAGGCCCCAGTTTCCTCCTCTGCGAAATGAAGCGGAATGGGGCTGTTCCCGGTGCCTCCATGGGCACCGCTGGGACTGAGGCCAGGGGACGGGTGGGCACAGTGCGGGACGCGGCCCTGAGCGCTGTGGG